TCCGTAAAAAATAATAATATTATATCTAGGATCTCTTATTTGCCCACAGCTCTGGATGTTTAAGAGCACATGATTGTGCTTCATGTTAGATTCTGAGGCAGCTAACTTAATTGCAGCAAATTTTAGATTTTTTAGATTTGAGTTAATAATTACTTTGAAAGCCTCTGACAGACTGAATGAGTGATTTTCCTTAGTTTCCAGTTTGTTCAGAGTGGTCTGGACAAGAGGCATAACTGGTCAATTTACTTCCATGCTGCATTTAGGTTCATAATACTTCTAGGGTAGGAAAATAAACCCTACTTGTATGTGTGCCTGGTACCCTTGGTTGCGGATACACAGCAAAGAGAAGTCATTGCATGAGTCTTTAGGAATTGCTAATGAAGTGACGAGCTGATTATTTAGAAAGTTGGTATAAGAATGAATGTGTTTCAGTGTAAATACAGTAGAAATCTACCATATAATGGACGTCTGTTGTATTTGTAGCTATGTTGTGGTATAGAGATGTATAACAGCCAATATCAGACCTTCTGTTGCCCTACTCACTTTTAGCTTGCTGCTCTTCTCCTTTGTCCTGTAACTTGGGTTTAGGCATATGACTTGTTAGATGCATTACTGTTGTATAATCCACTACATACCACTGTTGATGTTTATGCAAAATTACCTTTGGGATTTTGTTATGTCTTGAGAGCACAATTTAAAATAATTATAATTTGGCAGAAAAAGTAGCACACAATAAGAGCTCTAAAGCAAAGAAATGTAGAAAAAAGTTTAAAGTCAGTGGCAGACAGAACGCTTGAAACTTTTCTCTGTATTACGTTAATTCCTTTTTTTAATCCAGAAGATACCATCCTCTGCTACCATAGTCTGGCTGTTGTTATGTGAAGCATTCTCTGGAGCTTCAGTGACCACTATAACCTGGTTGCACCTTCTTGCTGCTGATAGCAGAGTATGAGCGACTGCGGTGGATTAAATGTTTCGGTCCTTCCTGAGCTTTGTGATGTTCCAGTTCCTCTGAATAATTCTGAGAGTAAAAAAAAGTGAAAAAAAAGTTACATTGGCCAAGGCACAGAACTGTAATTCCCAATGCTGCATTCATAAACATTGGTCACGTTACATCGCTGAAAGATTTAGGTTAGGTCTAGACTTACACTTTCACCAGCAGAGTTGTCAGCTGTGAGCAGAGGGTAAAACATCTCCAAAACCAGTGTAGCTGCTATATTTCAGGCATGAGCTCCAGTGAAGGAGGCAGAGGAATAAATAAGGACTCAGGCTTTGCTCAAGGATTACCTGGATGTCATCTGCAGATCAAGCAATGATGATGACTTTTAGGCATCACCTCAAAACACAAAGGCAAGCCTTTGAAACACAAATAAAAAATATCAACCCATTATTAGATAGCAAAAATGAAGCTGACTAAGTAGACTTGCTCTAATTTAGGTTTTCTCACTGATACCAAAAGTATTGGCTCTTCTCAGAAACCCATGCTAAACAGGAAACATGGCATCCAGTGGAGCTTGCTGTCCTGCATGGCTGTGGGTGCCTAATGTCACAAGGGCAGCTACTACTTTAAATAGATATGAAATTATAAATAGATTTGCTCTTCCTTGAAAAATTAGAGTGGGAAGTGACAGAAACAGAGCTCTGACAATTTTGATTTTAAACAGGAAAGAGTGCTTACATAGAAATCAGTCCCGAGTGGGGAAAGTACCTTTTTTTTGGTAACGTTTCCGGAAGCCTTTTTAGGTTAAAATTCTCCAACTGAGTTGGAAACAACTTCTGCTGTCCACAAGTCTTCTGTGACTTCTTCTATTGTTTTGCTAAAAAGATTTTGATTTTTATTTTCTTGGGGGGGGGGGAACAACCTCCAAATAAAAAGGCCGACCCATCTGAAGCAAGCTAGTTTTGCATCCTGGTTCTCAGTAAGAGTCTCTAATCCTGCCAATTAGCAATCTGTCATCAGATTACAGATTAAATATGATTTTAATTGGGAAGTTCCTGCCACACTGTGGCAAGAACTTTCACCTTCCTTGAATAAAGAGTTAAACTGGATACCTGATACCTTTGTAGAACAAACATATAGCTAAACTAAACAAACAGACACTTTGTTTGGCTTGCCTCACTATTTGGGCATTATCAATTGTAAATATTACTATTATTTTAAAATAAGCATAATTTAGATTACTAGATAAGCTTATTGCAGCTTTATTTTTTCCCCTGCAGCTGCTTTCTCCATCTTTCTTTCCAAGAAAGTATAGAAATTAGTTCTGACAGAGTATTGAGCCAGGAGAACCCACAACAACTTTGGTATTTTTATAAAAAGTTGTTGACAAGAGATATTAGTGGGTGGCAGAATAGTACTCATTTGTGTTCATCCTGAAAGGTATCTGCATTCCTTATGGGCTATTTGCTTTCAGCTTTAGGAAACGTTCAGCTTAACTTCCTTCTTAGGAGCTTTGATTGTATCTTCATGTGCTTCATATGTAGCCTTTTTTCTGTGAAGAGAAAACCTTATCTTTGTACTTCCTGTTTCTTTTGCATTTGGTAATAGGTGCCAACTGGTGTGGTTCTGTACTTATATATCCTGAGAGTATATGGCATCATCTGAACAGTCTTCAGGATGCTGGTCAAATTAAGTTGTGAAACTGTGGCAGCTTCAGGCACCCACAAAGCAGAGCAACACAGGAAAAAGAGGTTGGTTCTTTAACCTCTTGATTTCCCAAGCGTAGATTAATATTTATCACAAGATCTTATCTGAGAAATATGTTGCAAACATGCTGATTTAAACAGATTAAAACTACCAAAGAACTTCCCATCACCATCCCCTCCAAGTGTGAACCCACTTCATTTTAGGACCTGAAACTAATACTAAGATAAGTAGAAGAAACAGCTGGAATTCAATTTGCAACAATTAAGACTGCCTGTATTGCTATTTTTACGAAAACAGAAGTCCTGGTACCTGGGATTCCTCTTCCTAACCTGTTATAACAGTTTCTAATTGAAACACTGATAGCTGTACCCAAGAAATGCCAAACTGAGAGCCTTGGAGATTGCAATCTTTACAAAGAAGTAAAACCCCAAGTTTGAATACTTCATAAGCAGAACTTTTAAGACTATGTTAATGTGGCTTGTCCCTAAGCAATTACACTGCATGTGATTCTAAAGCTGATTCACACACAAAACTATATCCATACCAAATGCTAGAGTGCTATTATATAGTGTAGATGAAGTCAGGAGTTGGTAGAATATAAGGATTTTTTTTGAAAACCAAACTGAAGTTTAAAATGACTGCCACAGTAGGCATCTACATTTGCAAAGTCCTACTTTCCCAGCTGTAGTAATCTATAAGTTAATCTGTGCTGGTAGTAAAAACACCAGTGGTCTGGAAGTGTAAGTATTGAAATTAGTGAAGCTGCTCTGGGGCTGGAACAAGCCTTTCTAGTGTGAAAAACAGTTCCAAAACATAATGTTATCCCTCTGTGTCCTGACAGCAGCTGGTATCTGCGTAAGTGCTGCAGTTATTTTATAGCTTCTCAGCTTGCTCCAAAATTGTGTGAGGTGAATATAACATGATATAAACATAGGGATAGGTATTATCAGGGAGAGACAGCTGTGTAACAACATTCTGGACAATAAAGATAGATCTTGGGATACTTATTAAGAGACCAGTCCTGCCAGATGGACTCTGCAGGAAGGATGTACATCACAAATACCACATTATATGAATTATTATACACAAACAGCTGCTAACATTCATCCAGGGCTATTAGAAGAAAATTATAGAAGAACTCTTACTGTGAGCCAAAGGGAGAATTTGGCTTTTAGCAGCTTTAAAAATCAGTGAAGTTCTGAATATGCAAAGAGGTGAGCTGTTAAAAGTCCAAGAAGGAGCTTAGTGGCTCAGCAAAAACTGTTCCTAAACGAGGAGTTGGTGAGCTTAGTTTTTCTGCAGGCATGCAGAAACATAGTGTTTTAGATAGAAATCAGATCAGAGATTAAACTTGACTTTGCAAGGAGAGAAAATTCAGAAAATGGGAAAAATAAATTGCAAGCAATGATGGTTATGTGATATTTACTTACTTTGAAAGATAAGGATGAGAATCTGAAAAGTTTAAAATGAACAATAAAACATGAGCTAGGCTACAAATGGATAATTAATCTGAACCAGTTAATTGCTGCTTTAAACGAAATATGGAAGATAGTTTCCTGCCATAGGCATAAAAATGCCTCTGGCCTGGATCAAGCTTCAGATTAAATAGAGAAAATATTTGTCTTTTCTCCTGACACTTCATTTGTATTGCTCAGGGGTTCTTCAGTCCACTGGAGTGAATGATAAATGTTTATAACTGAAGTTCACCGAATTAGCAAAGTTCAGCAGAATTCCCAGTGACGTGGGGGTTTCTGTTTAAGTTTTCCAATTTGTGGGAACTTTCATTCATTCATTCATGGCCAGTCTTCGCAAACGAAGATTTGGGAAAGGTCTCTACCCACGTTTATTACAAGCGCGCTGGTGATACAGGGCTTTGCAAATGCGGGTAAGGCCTTCGAGCCTGCGCAATGGATTTTATCGGTGAGACACAGTGTGCGCTGAACTGAGCCCACCCTTAAATCCTAAGGTTCATCTGCCGGGGCCGAGTGAGGTTGGACGGTTGCAGCGAGGTCCTCAGGATGTAGGCTTGTTTAGAGTGACCTTCTCTTCGATGGATGGCCTTACAGCTGAGCTCCAGCTGCCCGGGTTTAGAGCTGTCCTTCTCTTCCGTGTGTTCGGGGCTCCCCTCTCATCTCCCACGATGGCACTGTCCGCACAGGCGAAGCCTCCGTTCTCGCGGTCCTTTCCGCGCCCGGGGCCGGGCCCCAGCGCCCGAGGCCGGGCCGCCGCGCACGCGCCCGGGGCTGGGCCGGGCCCGCGCCGCCGCGAAGCGCGCGTTCCGGGGCTGGGCCGGGCCCGCGTCCTGTGGGAACTAGAGGCTTGATGATGAATATAGTTCCAGTTAAGACAGGACTTGCGCAACAGATCTGTGGGAGATTTGCTCATGAGACTTGGTCATTTCTCTGCAATCAAATCATAAACAAAAGCATAATGCCTTTTCGTTTTCTGTACAAAATATGAAGTGAAATAATAATTACGATCAGCAAACCTTACTTCTTCTGAAAATTTAGCATCATGGTTTTGCACAGATTTCTTTGTTTCCAAACTTTCAGCTCCCACAGAGGAAGTGGAAATCGCCAGTAGGTTCAGAGACATAAATATCTTTTAAAAGGTCACCTGTACCTTGTAAACATTTTGACCTTTACAAATATCATACAATGGCACTGTAAGTCCTGATTAAAATACAGCAGGTATAGGTAACAAGAGGTAGATATTTATTGGCTTAGGTATAGTCAATGTGAATGAGCAAGCACTAAAACAGGGGCCTGGAAAGTTTGTGTAATCTTTTTACTTGAAGACATCAAAGCTTCCACTGGATGAAGGCCTGAGCAACCTGATCTAATTTTGAAGTTACCTTACCTGGGATCAGGTGGCTGAACTAGATGACATCCCACCAGAAATCATTTCCAACCTTAATTACTCTGTGTTAAGAGGGGCCTATTTTTGAACAATATAAACAGAGTAATTTTAAGTACCTCATCTGTTAGTGAACAGATGTACTAGGGACTGCACAGTCAGGCTGCCACGAGAGGGAGGAAATGCCTGGTTTCGAACACGGCACAGCACTAGGCTTGTGGGTACCCACGTGGGTGGAGCTGAAAGCTGGTTCACAGACCTTGCCTCTCTGAGAGGGGTAATTTCCAAATGCCTGGTGTGTGTGAAGCCTGTGATGTGAGGTGAGCTAAAGAAATAGAGGACGTTTCTTCCTTGCTGCTCTGATGCCAGGCAGACTTGGTGCCAAGCTTTAACTGTTGGATCCAACACAGTGGAATGTGGATTTCGACTCAGCTGCATTATCCTAAGAAGGTAAACTGCTCCAAGGAGCCTTTAGATAAACAAACAAACAAAAAGCTATAAATGTAATGCTAACTTCCACTTTTTAACTCTGCTCAGTCAACATGGAAAAAAGCTGTGCGGGTTTTGTATTTTAGATGTTGTTTAAACAGGAGTGCTAATATACCGTCTTCTTATTTTTGTGTAGTGTTTGCATTTTTGTAATATAGACAGAATAGAGATTTGGAAATGTATAGATAAGTTTAATTTCTTTTAGTAGCCAAACCACTTGAAGAACATGTAGGTAGAGTTCCTGCTTGAAATTCTTCCTGAAAATTGCTATGGACTTCATACAGATTGAAAAACAGTAAATATTTGAACCAAAATCTACAATGTGTAGCAGATTTCATAGCGTCAGAGCAGTCTTATTATGTGACAAAATTTTCTACTTTCTCATTAAGAATTTTGAACGGACAAATTATGTGGATTTCTGGAATAGCAGTTATCCTATACAAGGCCAGTAGCAGATAATAAGATGTAAAATCTTAGTTTTCCCTTTGGAGTTGTTTTGTTGGGATTTGACTGAGTTCTGGAGACTCAGGTTGCAGATCTGACCTGCATTTTGGTTTGAGAAATTTGAAACCAAAACATGCCTACAAAAACTAATTTACGTTTGTGGTGCTAACCTGTTAGAATTCTGTTGCTTGGGCGGATTTTTTACCTTTTCTTTTTAACATTTTGCATGCTGAGCTGCCACAAACAAATTTAACATTTTCTAGATTAGAGATACATGGCTTTTTTTTTCACTGTGATAACAAAGTCTGCATTTGTGGTAAAAGGGTAAGTCTGTGTTTGTGCTTTGACATTTGAGGGAAATCTCTATGGTTGCCACAAAGCAAAAAAGAAACAACTTCTTACTGGTCTCTAATCTTTACAGTGTTGTAGAAGTCGTGTTCCATTAAAGTTTTTGGGTCTCACAATGCATGCATATTTCTGATGTATATGTACGGAAGAAAAACTTCTAAGCCTGTACTCCTGTAAAGTAAATATACACAGGTATTTTCCCCCCAAAATGCCAAAGCAGTGGAAAGGATTTAAAAAAGGTTTATTCCCGAGGCAAGGACACTAAAAACTTACAGAAACCTCACAGTGCCCCAAGACAGCACTGGGCCTCAGGGGAAAGGCAAGTTCCAGTGCTCTTTCAGCACTTTTCATCTTCTCTCTTTCCTCCCCCGCCCTCTGGCTCGAGGAGGCCCTGTACATGTCTGCGAAGGAACCTTATCTCTTCGGCATTCCAGAGAGAGAGATCTCACTCACAGCTCTCCCTGCAACTTTCTCTGAAATGCAGAAGGGAAAAGGAAAAAAGGCTTCCTAAGTGAAATGAGTTCGACCTTCGTGTTACAAACTCTTCTGAAAGCACACCTATTCCTACAACTCCTATCTGAGGAAGGATTTTGAGGGTGGTTGTGTTTCTAGGAATCACTGTTTCTCAAAGTCTTTCCTTTGTATGGCATGACTGGAAGAAAACAAAGTGTTCTTTTAATTTGGAAAATGTGGGCAACACATTTTGTCTATGTATAGAAATACTGTACTTACCTCTAGGGCATTCCTTTTCCCCAGGAAGTTTGGGGCAAGCTATCCTGCTTGTTCTTTTCTCTTCCCTGGAGATCCTGAAATGCCTTCCAAATGTTACTGTATTTATTTCCTTTTATCACTGTTTGAAGCAATAACTTTAACAGCACCGTGTTTTCTCATTGCTTGGTGGCACTTCATTACATCTTTGCATAGGCAGTGAAGGAATAGCCGGTTGGAAACTACGAATTGTAATACAGCACTAAGGTGGTTTCCAAGCAGGAGAACAGATAAACCTGACATGCCAGGAATGATGATTTAGAGCTGGTGATGGCAGAAAGAATTTCAAGCAAAAACTGAGAAATATTTGAGAGACTATCCTGATGACAAGGTGAATTTCAAAGTGTATATATATTTTATATATATATATATACATATTTCAGTATATTTCCTCAAAAATATACTCCATAGTATGATGCATGTGTTCTGCTCCTAAAAGTATGTTTAATATTTATGTTTTACTAATTATATTTAATTATTACTTCAGGAATAGGGAGAATCCATGCTTTTGCCCGTGGTCAGCAAGGAAGTTTTACCTAGGGTTCTGGTCACTTATTGTTCTCTGTGCTCTTGCAACTAAGCTGCTGCCATGTTCTGAAGTAGGTAATTCAGAGCTACACTAGGATTATCAACAAGATCTCAGCATAACTGGACTATGGAGGGGATGAACCTTCTTCATTCGTCAGGATATGTTACTATCTTGAGCAGTGAGCTCTATTTTATTGCACTTTGTATATTTCATTTGGCACAATAATTCAACAAATTTGAATATTAATGTAATGGCTGTTAAGTACTTTAATACAAAATAAGATGGAAAATAAGGACTTCAAATGAGATGAAAGGAATGCCATTCCTAACTGAGATTTGCTCCACTTAAATAGCAGCTGCTTAACTGAACCTTCTGCACTGAGGTCTGGCCTGCCTGCTGGAAAGGAGAGGAGGGGCCAGGCAGCTTGCCCATAGTTCCGAAGATGGTAAATGACAGAAGAATGCAGAAAAAGATTATTTTTCTTTTTTTTACTGCGAAATTTTCATTTAAAATCTATCTATTTTGCAAGAGCAAACTCCCATCGTTGCATCCTCATATGGCAGATATGGCCATCCTGCTTCATTATAGCTCTGTCCTCCCTGAGGGTACTTGCCTTGAATTAGGATGTCACTCCCATGAATGAAGGCAAGTGCTTCTCAGCTTTATAGCAAATGCTGCCAATAACTCTGAATGGGGTGGGGGTGAACTCATCTTTTATCTGCAAAGGTATTTTCACCTCCTAGCAGATCTCACGCTTACTTTACATAGAACAGGAGTTATTTCTAATCTGTTTGGAAAAAATGCTTTTTTACTGACACCTGAAAGACTGTTGTCCAAGTGTTTGAGTACTGTATTTAAAAAAGTGCGGGAGGTGCTCTGATTACTCTTGAAGTTGTTGTCATACCCATTTCCTCATGGAAATAAAGTAACCCTTTCAAGTTTGGCACATATTGTCCTTGATAAGGTTTGGGAAAGTGTTAGATTTCAATAGCTTTCCTCTGAAAATACTCTGATGTGCTGTTTGTTTTAAGAAGACAGCTTACTTAGAGGCAGTTCATTTCTGGCTTTTTGGGAGGTCCGAGTCCAGGGTGTGTCAGGCTCACTCTGCCAGCTGTGACTGAGGAGTTGGTTCTCTTCAGCAGTAAGCTGGAGGTAGCAGCAGAGTTTAAGGAATGGTTATACGATCTTAAAATCTTTGGGAGAAGGTGGCGATTTCACAGTTTCCAATGCTATCTTCCCTTCTGTTTACTATTATTTCTTTTCTTTTTCTTTCCTACTGTAGAATTCACACCAGCCTTACCAGAAGGAGAGGCATTTCGGCTCTCCAGCCTCCACAGACTGCAAATTTTGCTGTTTCATTGTCATCAGCGAATAACTGTGGTATTTCTTTGCTTTAGCAAACTGGAAAATGGAAATGAAGAGAAACACAACAAAGTTGTTGTGGCTGTTGATGTTCTTTTTTGATATTGTGCCATTAAGTTATGAGAAATCAATGAGAGAAAGAGCTATTGAGCTGATGCAAGATGCACGTTTAATCGATGGGTATATAAAACATGTTCAACTAAACCCTCTTTGTGAATCCTGATAAGTGAGGAGGAAATGCTGAAGTGTGTCTGGATCAGTAGAGACATAGATTGTTACTAGCATATAGCACTTAGCTCCTGTTGCAATGATGTATTGGGAAGGAATTTTGGGTCAGAGGGTACTTACTATAGGACTGGGTTATTCTAAATACCTTTGTGATTTTCTGGTCAGGTGTCATGCTTTAACCCCAGCTGGCAACTAAGCCCCACAGAGCCACTTGCTCACTTGCCCCTCTGAGGGAGAGGATCAGAAAAGTGAGAAAACTCGTGGGTTCAGATAAAGACAGTTTCATACAGAAAGCAAAAGCCACACACAAGCAAAGCAAAACAAGGAATTAACTCACTACTTCCCATGACTAAGGTGTTCAGCCATCCCTGGGAAGCAAGGCTCCATCAAGCATAATGGTTTCTTGGGACGACAAACACTACCGCTCTGAATGTCCCCTGCCTTCCTTCTTCTTCTCCACAACTTTATATGCTGAGCATGACCCATACGGTCTGGCATATCCTTTTGGCCAGCTGGGGTCAGCTTTCTCAGATGTGTCCCCTCCCAATGTAAGGTACGCCCCCAATCTGCTCACTGGCGGGGTGGGGTGAGAAGTAGAAAAGGCAGAAAAGAAGGGAGACTTTTAAGCATCTATTGCTGCAAGGATTATTGGCAATTAATGGTCTAAGGGAAGTGGAAGAAATTGCATTTGGCTTAGAAAGGGAACATCTTATTTCTGTCACAAGCCCAATTTGTTTTTTGATTCTAGCCACAATGACTTTGTACTGCAACTGAGAATACTTTACCAAAACAGAATCAGTAGAGTCAACTTAAGAGAACTCAACAAGACCCACACAAACCTTGTGAAACTTCGGGCTGGTTATGTGGGAGCTCAGGTATGTACTGCCATGGTTGTGAGTCTGAGATCATATTTTTATATTTGCCTCCTTCCCAATCACACAAGTACTCCTGGCCTTGATTTTGGCTCTTTATGTTGAAAAAGAAAAATACAATAAAACCAAAAAGCCCCCAACACTGTTTCATAACATTTGTGTTTCAAAAGTTTGTGTTTTATAATTCAGGTACCGTTAGTCAAAACAGCAGCATTTGTTTTGTGATATATAAATTAAAGGAAGCTCACATCTGCTTTCCTGCATGTACTGTGGAGTAGCTGAGTGTGTCAGGAGGCTTTAGTCACGTCTGGAGTAGATGCTATTGTCTTGCATCATAAGTCTTCTTTTGGGGAAAAACTATAGTGGCAACTCCCTTGTAAACTGCAGGAAGTTATTTTGGTCTGTGCCCATGAACTATTAGCAAATGGAAGTTTCCAAGTCAAAACACAAGTTATCTAGTTTACTTGTCAACGTCTCTTTCAGTTTTGGTCAGTGTATGTTCTTTGCAGCGCTCAGAATAAGGATGCTGTGCGTCTGACTTTAGAGCAAATTGATGTTGTCAAGAGGATGTGTAACAGCTACGAAGAGCTGGAACTTGTGACAACTTCCCAAGGTGATGCTCGCTCTTGTAAAAGAATTTGTGAAAATGTGATTGCAGGAGGTAGTACAAAAGACAGAGACCTGCAAGCAGGCAAGTTATCCTGCTTTAAAGAGTAACTTTACCTCAACTTTTCCACTGGGCTGCAGCGATGGACTCTGTGCACCATCCAGGTCCACTGCAGTAATGTGAATATTTGCCAGATAAACATGTACTACTATAAGCTCCTATTCTGTGAAAATGTCAGTATCGTTGCTTGCAATTTCCAAAAACAATTGCTGCTCAGTAGTGCTGTCTTCTTATCTGTCATGATATTACTTTGGAATTATCTCCCTTTTTTGTTTCCAGGTATCTCTGAAAGTAGAAGGATTGCGTGTTTGATTGGAATAGAAGGTGGCCACTCCATTGACAGCAGTTTGGCAACGCTGAGGATGTATTATGACTTGGGTGTTCGTTATATGACTTTAACACATTCCTGCAATACACCTTGGTAATTAATGTGCTTTTTTTTTGTGTGTCTATCTAATGTAAAGGAGTGGCAGTTCCATGATGGGAGAAATATGGATTCAGACACAGAGTTAACCTGTGAAAGACTCTGAACCAAGTCAAGGATGATAGGTTTGGGGGATAAATCATTTGCCATGTGTCAAGTGGGAGACTACATCTGTTATGTAGGGCTTGTAATGATGACAGTTGGACACTTTTAAACTTGTTAACAGCATAAAGATGGTAAATTTGCTATTCCTTTGCTATATTAGGAAAGTTACCTAGGGCAAAAAAGACAAAAAGAAAAGTACTAAAAATGCATGTGATGTAGATAAAAGAGTGTAAATGCTATGTAAGAACTCAGCCGTCAGCAGCCTTCAACACTGCCCTCTCTGGCCACCTCAAAAGTGCAGGTCCCATATGGCGCTACAGAGATAGGTATTTAGTTCCTGTATCAGAATATTAGCACCTACTCTTTGCTGGATTGACAAAATACTTTCTTGCATTTACTGAGAGACAGGGAAATTGCATACAGAGGGCAGACAGGTAACTAACATTGCAGTGTCTCTTTGTTCTCTCATGGAAGATTGTTTAATCAGAAAATTTCTGACAGTTACCTCTCTGCTTGTCCTGCATTGCTTCACAAACATCAACATTCATGAACTTGAAAACAGTTATGAACAAAAAAAGCACTGCCCAAACAAGATACTTATTACGTAGCTCATTATCTCCACATTTGGCTATATGATATGGTAAACATTTTTATTGTGTGTAGGGTAAGAGATTTCAGTTGCTGACACTGTAGTCTCCATAATAATATGATGTTTCTCCTCCCTCACTCCCCTTTTTAAGGTCTGAATCATCATCTAAAGGAATACACAACTTTTATCCTAATGTTATTGGTCTGACTCCATTTGGCCAAGTAAGAATCTCTTTCAAATGCTAATCTGGGCAATCTGTCATGTAACAACTTCTGGCCTTATCTTTTCAAAAGCAACTTGTCATTAAAAATTAATTACTGGAAGTTCTTGATAGTTAGGAGATGACTGGGGCTCAGTCAAACCAAATTCCCTGTGATGTTCTTTAGGGTAAAAGAAGCATTAGATTTATTTAGAAAAAATGTTTTAATTCAGATCAGATGTATGAATTCATATGTGGAATCAGTGAGATGTGAATAACAGTTCAAATTACTTATTTTAGATAGGCTAAGTTTTCTAAGTTTTGAGCATGTGATGGTGTGTTAGCTAATTGTGAGTGAATAAATTACTATTAAAGTAATAGGTACAGAGAAACCAATACTGGCATAGCATGCTTACGACTAGCTGACAGCTGCAGAATTAGTCTATCTCTTTACAGACATCAGCTAAACAGTTTCCTTTAAGGAAAGTTAATACTGACACTGTTTTCTGTATATCTGTTTTAGGAAGTGGTAAAGGAGATGAATCGCCTGGGTATGCTGATAGATTTATCTCATACTTCATATTCCACAGCAAAAGCTGCACTGAGTATCTCAAAAGCACCAGTAATTTTCAGCCATTCATCAGCATTTTCTATTTGTAATCACTCAAGAAATGTCCCTGATGATATCCTCCAGCAACTGGTGAGCAATATCGTTCTTGGTTTTGTTTTGTCATTTTTTGAGGGAAGCTAGTTGTTGGTCTTGCTTCTTGGGGGTTTTGGGTTTGGGTTTAATGGCAATGTTTGGCTAGCTGAGGCAAACCTGTGCATTCAAGTCATGGTGTTTACTTTTAACCTTCTCATCTCTGAATTTGATTTAGAAACAGATTCCTGTGCAGCAGGTTACATATTTGCTTCTGAGAGATTTTTTTTTGGGTTGTCTTTAGTATTTGACTACAAAAATGAAGTGTTTGCAAATACTTTGAAATTCTGGTTGTTTGATGCAGGCACTGCACTTCTGCTGATTCAGTCTACGTGAAAGTATAATGAACCCAAGGGAAGGGGGCAGGGAGGCAAAGCCTCGTGTTGCCGTCTGAGCTTTGACTTACAGAGTGTTGCTGTGCTCACTGACAGATGGACATAGAAGGTTCTATATAAGAAGCTCATGAGGTTTGCAGGGCACATGAGTGTTCACTCATCACTTGTCTCTTCCTATCTTTCAGAAAAAGAAAAAGGGAATTATCATGGTGACTTTCAATGCAGATGTACTGGCCTGTGGCAGAAAAGTTGTTAATATTTCTACCCTTGCAGGTTTGATGTCAATGTAGTTTTTGTCGGTTCAATGAATTCATACAAATTCTATGAATTTCCTGGTGTATGCATAATTTTTGAAGTTATAAAAAAGTGCTTGTTTATTCCTTCCACACCTTAGCCAAACTCTAGGTATTTTTGGTGCTAATATTCATTAAACAATAACAAGAGGTACAAGGTGAGTGTAGCTGGAGGACATGACGCTTACAAACGGAGCCGAGAACCATTAATCCCAAAGTAATTGTTACTTTCTGGAAAACACCTTAAGCCTATGTAATTAAGAGTAGAAAACATAAGTATGTAATGAATAATGAAAATTCTGATGGTATAATTGGGCTACTTGTTGGGAACAAATATGCTGTGATGATCATGTCTCTTTCCTCATTTGCATTTCATCAGTATAGCTGTTATTTTGAAGATTGCTGTCTGATGGGATATCTTTTGACTTTTTTAAAAAAGGATTTGATTGAGAATCCACAATTAAAGTGAACAGCCTTGTTCCAATATGTGTGAACTGTAATATTTGTCTTTTACTGGATGCTAAGATGTTGTTTTCTTGGGTATTTTCTTTCAGATCATTTTGACCATGTAAAGAAAATTGCAGGTTCAGAATCAATAGGAATTGGTGGTGACTATGATGGAGTGGCACGGTTAGTAAAATTATACCTACATTGACACCGCCTCCTTAAATTATGAAGGTTTTTGTTCATTTAAGGGAAAAAAAAGAAGGCAGACTAAAAGAATGGTATCAAGTTCTCTTGTGATGAGTGCTAAACCAAGTTTTATGAAAGAGGAGCACAATGATTCCTTTATAGAACTGTATGAAGCAGTGCTACAAATGTGGAAATGGATCCTAGTGCCCTGTGAACTCTGCAATCCTGTGTTCTAGACAGTGTTTTGTGCATAAACAATCAGTGATAGAGGTTGTTTTTCTCCAAAAGCCAAAGATAAATGACAGAAAAGCTGCCTCAGCCTTTAGATGGTAAATGGTCAGCCTAGAGAGATGCTGCAAAACTCTTTCCTCCACTATCCTTGGGGAAAGCCCAAAGTGTTTTGGTGCTGTGAAACCACTCCTGCTTTTGGGGCTTGGGAAGTATTTCAGGCAAGCAGAGAATGGTGAACAGCCTACATAACCTCTCCTCACTCTTGGGCTAGTGTTGTTACAGTACGGGAAATAAATACAGATTAGGTGGCATTTGCTGGTGTAACCCTAAATTTTTTTTTTTTTTGCTTTTTATCTTTCGGTTTACTCATCATCTTTTTTTTTTTTTTTTCTTCTCCTGGGGTCAGATATGCTTGGGAGTGAAAGTCAGAGTCAGGCTCACATCTGAAAAGTATGATCACAGATGCAGTGTGTCTGCTCCCATGATAGCTAGCCGTAGGTCTGAAGCTGTAACGTTCAAAATAAAAACACAGTTTGCAACAAAAGGACACATTTTATTGCATGCATTTTCTCAAAGATCATCAGTCAAATTGGCGGTGGAGTGGTTAAGGTCCTAACTCCTGGTAGTACAGATTTCTTGAGATATGCTTATCACCACACATCCACAGAACAGAAAAATAACAAAAATATTAGTTGTCTCAAAACAATGTCACAGTCTCATGAAAATAGAATTTTAAACAGCTGTTTAATGCAGGTTTTGCAGCTTCTTACTTCTATTTCTTTTTATTCTGACAAGAATTAGCACAAGACATAGATCAACTTCGCTTATTGTAATTTCTTCAGTAGAAGGCTCTAAATAGGTTGCTTCTCACTTCCTAAATGGCTGAATTCAAACCAATATTATTATTCTAATTATATTCCCTTTGGAAAAACTACTTTGCAACCAACAAAGTCTACAAAATTGCCTGCAACTCCTCTGCTCATCATGTGTTTGCAAGTTTCCTTTTGTTCTGTTACACAGGTGCATTGTGCCAACTCCATCTGTGATGTAGCTGTTTCCTCTTACTCTAAAGGCCAGATATAAAGAGTGGATAAATGCACACATGAGTTTCTGTGGGGTTCTTTTTTTCCTTTTGTTCTGTTTTAATATCTTTCCATGCTGTTGTTTTGCCTATACATCATATACATGCTTATATATTATGTCTATGCATCTTCATTCCAGAATACAAGTTGTGTTCTGTTTATGGAATCCTATGTGCAGAAAAAACCTTTTGTTGTGTCCCAGTCCTGCTTCTGTTTGTCAGCTGAATTCTGAAAGGAAGAATTGGGTCCAAAGTGAGCTCAATCCAAAAGTCAATATGTGCAAAAGACTAATTAAAAATCTTTTTCTAAATTTTTTCAGTGATGCATGTTGAATGTTCTTGTGTGACTTTTGCCAACAGTTTCCCTGAGGGATTGGAAGATGTCTCTAAATACCCTTCTTTGATTGAGGAACTTCTTAGAAGAGGATGGAATGAAACTGAACTGAAAGGAGTGTTAAGGGAAAACTTCCTCCGTGTCTTCAGGGAAGTGGAAAATGTAAGATTAAAACCCAAACTGAATCTTGATTCTTACTAAGAGGGAGAGAGGAACAGTTGGTGCCCTGTTGTTTATTTTTTGGGTGGGTTTTTTCTTTGTGGTGGGTTTTTTTTTTTTTTTTTTTTTTTTTTTGGTTGTTGTTGTTGAGTGAGTGAGAGAGATATGAGGGAATGTAAGCACCTAATTCAGTAATTCCAAATGCTGGGAAAGAAACCAAGATGGCAAGAGAGCATTAGCAGAATAAAGGAAAGTGAGAGAGAGCAGACAAAGCTCTTTGGAAGTTTCTCTCTTTGCAGTAATCTGATAAGTCCACATCAGTGACTTCTAAATAGAATCATTTCATGGTTTGGAGAAACTGCGGATGTACCAGCATCACAGTCTGGCTGTGTTCGCTGGTGCAGTAAGGAATGTTGACTCCTGCAAATCAATTTAATTCTTGTCATGGGATTGGGCTGCTATCCAAAAGGCTCATGCCACGACCAGATCACTAACAGGCCATAAACACAACAACTAGATAACAATGAGCTTCGAACGTAAATGGTAGAAGCAAATCCAAAAGGATGAGGAAGGAGACCATATAAGAGTAAGGACTCCCTCAGTGGTAACTTTTTCACATGCCTCTGTTGACATTTCCAGACTGCTTCCTCCTGCTGTTTTTATTTACAGTGATAAGTAAGTAGATATTATACACAAAGCCTTATAGACAGCATATATTTCACAGTGGCCTTTCTTCCACTTGTCCTTCTAGGTATGTTAGATGAACAAAAATCAGGGAAATTTGTACTATTCTAGTTAATCTGCCAAAATATCTACATAATGACAAGTTCATCAGGTGGCAGACTGACATTATGAAGAGGCTCAAATTCATCACACCTTTCCAATCTGTGAGATTTAATAATTTTATTTTTCCTTCTAAATTAGAAATGTTGAAACCCTGTCTTGAGAGTTCAGGGAAGAAAGATCATGGTTTTGTTTGCTTAAGCTTTACTGGCTAATGCATCCATATGTGGAGGGAGGGAGCCAAGATAGAGCAGCCAGACCTGTAACTCTTGCCTGTAATGTATCTGTACTGAATTTTGGGAAGTGTTTGATAGGAATGCAAACAACAGGATAATGATGTTGATTTCCTCACATTCAGAAGTGGTTTGGCAATACAGTTTGAGTTGGGTAACTTGAAATAGCATTGAATTTGCTAGCTGCATAAAGCTTTTGGTGTTGCGTCAGTCTAGCTTTCAGGGGCAACCTTTTGAATTTTTGTAGGTGCAGAACATCAGTGGAGTAATGGACATAGGTGAAAGTGAAACTCTACAAGAAGTACAAAATTCCTGTCGCCTCGACCTACGTAATCCTCGGCTTGAGCCAGCCAGGTCCTTTGCATTTCCTTCTGTGGCACAACCCTTTAGTGTGACACTTGTATCATGTTTAGTGCTGTATTATGAATCATAACATCTATGGAGTCTAGAGAGAGATTTATGGAGTAATTTGCAATGCAACTAGTTATCTTTTTGCATTTTGTTAATGCATAAGTATAGCTTTATACTAAATTTTCAATCTAATTTCTACAAATTCACCTGTAAACTTGAAAAGATGTATCAAAAGCATTTAGAATTTGAAGTTATAAATTCTGTATCCTCTTGGCTAGACCAGGACCAACATTGTTAATAGAATGTACCCAGATCTAATGAATTCTGTAATACACAACATATAGTTTTGGCACCCGTATTGTGGCACTTGGTATAAATACTGGAGTACAGAATCAGCAGTTCCACACAGGAAGTAGAGATTATGATTAAGACAGATATGCCAAGATATTTTCAGATATTACTTCTTCTTAAATTATACAACTTTCTTCAATAGATGATAACTTACTCAGAGGAGACCACCCTATATGGAGAAGAGAGATTTTTTTTTTGTTTGCTTGGGGTTTTGTTTTGTTTTTTTAAGATGACAAGATGGAAGACAAGGCTATTTTTATTTGGGTTTCATGCCTACCACTAGTTTTAGAGATCTATCCTGCAGTACTAAACTCTTATTTTTGAACCCTGACCAGGACAGCGGGCAACTGGAGAGTTACTGAAGGGTGGGAGTAGATCTCCTGTATTCAAGTACAGGTGAACAGGCAATGTTGTAAATAGTTTTCTATAATTTGGGGACTGCTGTTTGCTGCATGTTCATGAAGATGATAACAAGAACAACCCAGGACAAAGAAGGAATTCCAGCTAGTCAGAGGGTTGCAGAAGTCTTTTTCTCATTTAAACAATTATCCTTATCAGTAACAGGTTTTACTATTTCATTTTTATTCTAGCTGGCTAAAATCAGACCATTGCCAGTGGATTCCTAGACATGAGATTAGGAAGAGGCCTTTTTATTATAAATCTTCTGCTGTTTTGGCCTTTGGAACACATTTTCAAATACACAAGGTATGTGAGGTTAGAAGCTACTGTTATAGAGAAGAGCATATATTGAGATAGGCCTATTCTTGGTAGGCTAAAAACTGACATTTCAATCAAATATACTGAAATTTGTGATGAAATTATAGGATGGCAGCACAACCTCTTTGTAGGGTCAGTTCCCACTGCTTGCTGGTAAGTGCCTTCTTACCAGCAATGCTGTTAATTGTGATTTTTTCCTTTTATTTACTGATATGAAATCTACAGAATTTAATAGAATAGTATAGAATAAAAGTCCTGCTGATCTAAGGGCGGTATTTGTAAACACACAAAGTATCTAACTTTGTGTTAGAAAGAGAAAGGGAAGAGAAAGGCTAAGGAAAGAGAAAGAGAAGGCTAAGCATGAACAGAATGGAAAACCAGCAAGTCAGTTGTTTTCTAGAGTCACTTGAGAGGGTTCCTACCATCCATTTCTGCATTCCATGTAAAAGTAGGAGTTCCGGAAGAACCCTGTTCTTTCATGATTCAAAATGAAGCTTCATTAATTATTTTGTTAGGATGGTCTCCTTGATAAGTATATTTTGAATATACTCCTGCCACTTACCAAATTCTTTACAAATTGTGTTGAACAATCTAGTTGCATAGAAGCCAAGTTTTTAAGAACAGTTTCTCAATAAATACTGATCCTTCTTATGCATCTAGAAAGGGGAATTACTGCACTGACTCAGAAGTCTGGCCTTCCTGATACTGCTTGACTGGCATCAGAACTTGTTTTACTGGTAAATGATGAATTAAATAGGGAATGTTTACTTCCCATGAGCATTTCTTCTAATAGGTTCATAAGCGATTGGAAAACTGCCATCCACGATCCCTTTTCATAGAACTAGTACTCTGATAGTTGCTTCATTCAATACTTGAAATGTAAGATGCTTCCTTATTCCTTCCAGCTGTTTTCTTTATACTATATTGTCACTTTACTGCCTGCTAATTCTTACTCTTTTTTTCTTCATGCTACAGCATAGATTAAAAATATATATTGCTTTTCTTAAAGATACAGATAATATGACTTGTCTTATCTATAATGTATTGCGCTTATTTGTTTGACTGCTTTGTGCTATGAGTAATTGGTAAGCTTGTGGCAAAACAGACAGGAAACTTAAATAAAATATTGTTTAAAATTGTGTATGGATACTGGTATAATATCACAAACAATGTAGATGTTCAGAAGTCCATGAAGCCCTAAAAGAACCATGCAACTCTGCTGCAGAAAGAAGGCCAGAGTATCATGAGGACTCTTCAGAGGGAAGGTAGCTCCCTCCCTGGAAGGCAGGAGAAAGTCAGGGAGGTTTAAACCTAGAGCATCCTGGATGTAGGCAGTCAGTCTCATCTAAACTGAGACACTGCTGAACCTGTCCAAGCAAGTGCCTATGGAAAGGGAACATGGCTGACTCAGTCACTGCAGTGAGTTCATGGTGCGTTACCTGCAGCAATTCCCATGGTCAAGCCACGGAAAACAAGGCTTACGGGGAACTAGCCAGGTTGTCTGCACCAAGTTTAGAATACCCTCTGCCTCACAGCATTTCTCACACGTGTGATGATCTAGAAGTCTCTTTTCCATTACTAATTACAATGTTAATTCAGAATGCTTCAAATTAGCTGCTTGTGTGAAACAATATCAGAGGGCAAAATCATCAAGAACTGGGATCTTGTGCACTGATTATGCACATTATCTAGCTTATCTAATAGATGCAGCTGGTTTATTTTTCTTAAACGATCAAAACCACGCAGCTTGAAACACGGTAGAAAGGCATCTCATTAGAATTTAATTTCAAAAGTAAAATCACGTAAGACGCGGCTGTGGCTGCTCTCAGAAAAACTACAGTTACCCTTCACTCTGAGCGTAGTGTCTCCAGTCCTACTGACAGCAACCTGTAGTAGTAGTCAGAACAGTGCATTTGTGACAGGTAAAGCATTAAACGATTGCAATCTGCTTTCTGCCTCCCAAAGGGGAGGATGATTCATCCTGCAATTGAATGCCTTTGCCCTGCACCAATTAATAACAGCCATTTGCATTGGGAATCCGAACGCGTGCTGGCTCAGCTGGCAGATTCTATTATGGCTGGTAGTATCAGTGAAGTACCAGATATAACTGAGATACAAACTTTGTCATAGGCTTTGTTGGCTGCCAAAAGAAACAATGCAAGTCATGATTTACCTCTTCTAAATAACAAGTTGTGCTAACACGAATTCTGAAAATATTTACGGCTATTTCTGTAAATCTTAAAATCTATGTACTATCAGGTACCTTAGGCTGAATTTCTAAATAAGACCCAAAATTCAAGGCATCTTAATCAATCAAAGGCTCATGCTTTTACATGTGTGATATGAACAGCCAAAAATTACAGGCATAATGGTGATGCAGACTCTTGATTTGATTCTAAAAGGTTGACGTCAGGACTCAGTACTATCCTTTTTCAGACTAATGGACTGTAGTATCCAGAGAAATAAATTATTTCAGTTCCCAGTTGTCTCATCTGGGCAAGTGGTGATGCTAGAAACCAAGACTTCAAAGACTATTCATGGTATAACATGTACAGCAAACCTGTTATGTAAGATCTGAGTAGTTCAATTCCTATGTCCAACTTCTACCCAGCAGGTGACTTGTTTGGGCCATGGAAGGACTCCTGCATGTTTTACATTGGATATAGACTACCCAATGGTGCCACTGCTTACCATCAACATTCCTTCTTGCATACCATTTAGCTGCTCAAACAACATGTCAGCATATTTTTATGTTTCAAGTTCAGCAAACATTGTGCATTAGGTCTAACCACTTATAAAAATATAAGTTTATTAGTTTTGCTTGATATCACACATGAGGTTCAGTAGGCATCTGCTCCACAGAACCAACTTTGAAAAGCCAGGTATCATTACATCCTTCTCCCCTCTGCAGTGCCACAGCAGTTTATGCCAGCTCTGGCTGCTCTGCTGCACTCCTGCTCTGTTTCTTGGCTGCATGTTGTCTCCCTGTCCCCTGAGACAGCACTGGTGTTTGTGTAACTATACAGTGTGCTGGTTCAGGGAACTGGTCTAGCTGCAAACTGTTTTACTCTGTCAAGGGATGAGTTTCCTGCTGACCGTGTCAGTGATTGGGTTGACTGTGCTCAGTGTTAGGGGAGGGGAGGAGGGAAAAAGCAAAGTGGGACTGCAACAACTTGGATTTCTTCCATTTGCTATTGAAAGCAGCAGCTCTGTTCTTCTCTGGATTTATATATATGGAAATGATCAAATTGTTTCAAATTCTGAAAATGTAACAAGTCTAAACTACAACAAAAAAAAAATTAAATAACCCAAAGAGTCTTCCCACTAACAGTGACTTTCAGTTACTCAAGATTTGTTGGATTGAATTTGCAGACCCAGAGTGGATCTGCTGAACTATTTTCAGAACAGACTGTGATGCTGGATAACCCTTCTTGGACTGTTCTGGAAAGCTTGATTCAGTGTTTCAAGAATTGTTTCTCTGTTTTTTTTGGTTTTTTTTTTTAATCTGGTCTTGATTTTTGTCTTGCTACCTTACCTACAAACTTTACACCTATGTAGAAGAACTTGAGATGGGAATGGTTGTTTTGGTTCTCCTATAATTTTACTTTTTTTATGTTCTGAAACCAGAGATTTTTACTAACCTTCATGTTTATTTATAACTTCATTAGGAAATGGGAAGGAAATAGAGGAAAACCAAAATTTGTGGTAGTGGGAAGCATTTTCGTTTCATTTCTGTACTTCACAAATGTCCAGGATCTTCGGTGACTGAGACAGAACCTCTCAGTCGCTTAGTCCAGTATTACCAGATGAGCTGCTTGTAGCCTGTTCTGCTTCCTGGCACTCATTGCAATGGTGTCAATTCTTTCCACAGTGTCTGCACTTTTTTTTTGCACTTTTTGAGAAATTCCTACAACCTGTGAAGTTTTTGTTTGGCTTTTTTTTCAGAGCAAAAGCAACAACCAACCCCTCTTTTACTTGGTCAGTTGCTTCTCTCATGGGTCAACAAATAGTGGAGGGGAAGCAAAAGCAAAGTAAACAAAGATCTGCATTTAGCTTACATCAGAGAAATGTTGCAGGTTCTAATCAAGGCTCTGGCCTCAACAATTATAACTCAGGTGAGAGGGCACTTAATTTTGCTCTGTTTCTGTTGCTTCTCCCCAAATGGTTTTGTAAACTCCATTAGGATGATTCTTTCCTCTCTATATCTGGTATTTTCCTCTGAAGCCCATTGTCAGCACCTGGTCTATATGTTTTCATAAAGCACTTCTTTCTCCAACTCTGCAATGAAAGGAAAGTACAGAGCTCAGGAAGTAAAAATTCAATGTCCTCCGAGGGTTGTTGCTGAGAAACAAAATAAAGATCAAAATATCTGAGATTAAAACTGAAGCTAATACAGGTTTTGTCAGGCAATTCAAAAGAAGGTCCCTTTAGTCTGGAATATAAACATTTGAAAAAAAAAGCTTAATACAGTTTGAAAAATCCATTTGGATTAATTTCCCTGAGTGTCCTGTAGTTAAACTCAATATCTAAAGAATCTCGTGTAGGCCTGCGCTCAGTTTTTTTCTCTGAGCCCTTTATTAAAAATTAAATACACCATGACAAACCAATCCATGCTAAAAATGTAACTGATCTGAAAATTGACCCTTTAAAAAAAGATAAAAGAAAAAACGACAATAAAACACTGAGTAGTATTTTTCCCAGCATCTAAATTCTACACAAATAATTACTGCAGTGTTTAAAAAGTCTGTTGAAGAAAACTTTGATACAGTTCTTATTTGAATTTACAGAACTTTGTTGAGTAGGAAAAAAAGATATCTAAAAGACTAAGCAACTTTTCAGTTTCTAAAGATGAAATTAAGGTATCTTTTTATAAATGGCTATTCCGTGTATCAAATACAGTTATAAGCAATTTTACAAGTCAAGCAGAAGTTCCTTAAAGTAAATAAATGTTGAAGATAAGTGGCACCATAGTGTCCTCTTGTGGTCTTTTAATGTTTAAACTGTGACGTTTTCTAGCAGAACAGCAAAATTTTCAGTTGCCTTTAGCATAAGAGCTCCTGTATTACTATAATGTGGCTTTTCCTTGCTTTACTTTTCTCCTGGAGATGCCATATGGAGGATTTCACATTGTGTCTCCTACAAGCATTGACTACCATCCCCCATTCTTCACATGTACATGTACATGTACATGTACATGTTGTGGTCCTCTCCAAAGGACCTCTTCCAGCCACTGCCTATCTTTGTCATGGGTGAACTAGATCCTGGTTTTTGTTAGTCACAACCTTTGCAGACAGGTTGCAAGTTTCTGGCCTGCTTTGTCCACAAGCTGGTGTGATCCTTGGATGTGGAGAAGCAGGAATGTGCTGAAAATTGAAGTTCACTGTGATGAAATGCTGGTCATGAACTTGCAGAATTCCTGTCAAGCCTCATGTCCAGGGAAGCTGTACCTTGGCAGTGACAAATTTTGTTTTGTTATTTTTTTCTGATGTCAGCTCTTGGCTACTTGTCATCCAGGTTCCACTCCAGTGGGAAAAATCTTTCAAAACAATAAATAGCAGTTAGAGATTCCCTGCTGTGTGTATCCCAGCCTTTCTCTTTACATAGTTTTTAAATATCTCTATGCTTGGTAAAAAAAAGTTGGCTTCAAATCTTGCAAGTGTTTAATACTTCCAGGTATCAGGGTGTTGTGCTTAACTGTATGGAAGCTAACTGAGCAGGCTTTCAGTTTCCCAGAGATCTTTTTACTATGCTAGATCTATGCTGTCTATAAATCTGCCAACCTTTCCTCTAGCCAGCAACCTTATTTCTGTTCTAACAGAATGTATTTTATTTCTGGGCCAGTACCATGCTACTAACTGGATGATTCACGACATTTCATCTTACATGGTTTAGAATTTCCCATGGTTTCAAAGCACAGTTTCATAGATTGTCCTGTTGACAAAGAGGAGAGGAGCGTTATACTGGTCTGTATTAACAGAGATGCAATATGATTACGATCTAAAATACCAAAATAAAGGTATTCCACTCAAGAAGTTTTATGTATTTTGGATAAACAGTTATGGATTATCCTTCAGGCTTCTAGGGCAGTGCATCCTCTGTATATACCTCTGAGCAGGCCACTTATTCTGCCTGGGGACATAAATATTACAGTCAGCAATGATAGCAATAAATGGGCAGATTACTCCATCAATGAGGTATTTCAAAGCTTCATTTACAGAAAATTAATTTAAACTTCTGAGGTATTATGCCCCAAACAATGTTAGGGGCAACATAATTTTACAGATGAATTAAAAAAAACCCAAAACTGAATTGTAATTTTTTCATGACATATTTAATTCTAAGGGTGATAATTTTTTCTTGGCCTCGATTTTCCTAGTTAGACAAAATAAACTATTTAAAATTAGGCATTTCCTCATGAAATTCAGAAAGAAGGGAAGATAAGAAGGAACTGTTTTTAAATTGTTATTAACTACAAATCATATAATCAAAGACACAGTTTGGTTCTTAATTAATAAGCCACTGGGCATTTGTGAACTGCTTTAAGTAGGTATAAGCTTCCAGCTGAAAGGTCCTAAAGAAAAGTAGCTCCTTGCCACATCTGCTTTGAAAAGCAAGATGAGAAGGAAGTGCCCAGTCTAATTCTCTTCCTGATGACTCTAAAAACATTAACTTTGGGGACATATTTCTTATCTAGGGCAGCTTACTTAGACCAGAGACTTACACTCAAAAGTACACTCTTTATAAAGTGGAAAACAGGAAAGAAGACGACTGAACATGAACTAACTGGCTTAATGGGGAGCTATCATTTTTTTCGATATAAAATTATTTATTCCCTACCAATTACGTATTTTCCTGTTTTCTTGCTGGGCTTTAGCTTATTAGGTCATACTTTTCATAAACACTAATGAAATGTAATTAAACCAAAGAGGGTAAAACAGAAAATGCTATTTTTTGGCCCATTGTTCTACATTCCTCTAAGGGAAAAAATATTGCTGCAGATAGGACAGTGGACTAAGTGGTGCATTAGGATGTTTCTCATCTGTCAGAACTAATGCTTCTAAAATCACCAGAAATGCTTTCTAGATTATTAAAATTGGTCAAACTTGCCCACAGAAATGGCAAGTAAAACTTTACAGTGGGACTGCATTTAAAAATGTGCTCATTTTAGGGTTACTGAGGGGAAAAAAAATCTCACCCTAGGCCAAAACCCATGAATTTTGAATAGAGGAAATTCTGTTGGTTTTTTTTTCAATCTCCTCCAAAACCGATGACACTGTTATAGATACATATGGCCACATGAAGATCGTTTTTGTTTCCCCTAGCAGAGCAAAGAGACAAAAGCAAAATGTAGGTTATATGAAAGCATAGGAGTCTTACAGAACTCTTTCCATCTGTCTGATCAATACTAAGAGGTGTAATTGCTCTGACTTTCTCCAGAGGTGGTCTACCAGCAACTTGTGTCAAGTGAACTGAGAGACTTGTACCCCCTTGGCAGTAGTCATTCCACAGCATGGATCCTTCATGTTTATTTCAAAACTCACCTAATTAAAAGTAGACTTAGTTCTCCTGAACAAAGCATTCTCCCTCATGTTGGTTTCTCTTCTGCTCATTACAAATTTCTCTTTCTCCCAGTGACCTGGGGGTTGCTTTGTCAAAAAGGCAGGACAAATTCAGAAAGCTGGGAATAAGGTGGTTCTGAGCACAGGAAATGTTTAGTCCTAGACTCTTCCTCCACGCTAAGCTTTGTATCCTTCCATAGACTCCTGTGTGATCTGAAGACAAAACTTATATTATTACTCGATTAACTTGTCGCTGTACAAAGATTTCTTGATCAGTGAGTATTTTAGTAAAAAAAAAATTCTACAGAACTAGTTTCAGTTGACAGCCCATAGTAAAATGCACAAACTGTTTTCCTAGAGCTTTTTTCTGATGATTACACAACACATTAGAAAGGGATCTTTTTACTGTCAAGGCCATCTTTCAAACACAGGCAATAAATAGCATTATCAACTATTAATTCACGTTTAAACTCCATGTGAAGGCTACCATACACGAAATGAGGGCCAAGATACCCATTGCTGGCGCCAGCTTTTTCAAATGGGAAGGCAAAATCGAATTTTGCTTTCTCGGGGACAGGAGGCTGCGAGTCTGGCGTGCCCCAGGCTTGAGGAACCCTGCCGCCACCGAGGCGTCAGGGAGGGGGTGTCACCCCACTGCCTCCCTTGAGTGGGACGGAACAATGGTGCACCCCGGCCCCTGCCTCTGCAGCGAGGCGACAGTTCATCAGCCCTGGCCGTCTGCTGTCTTAGCAACTGTGTGCTTTGCATACAGCTACAAACACCCTCGGCTCCAGCCTGCATGCAAATCTCCCCGGGGCAGCACTCTTACTCCCGCTGCCCCCACGCCTTTGGCGCTGCCATGTTTCCCGTGGGCTTGCTCCGCTTGCCACGTCCCTGCTGAGGGTTTCATGCAGCCACAGCCGAGGGCAGGCACAAGGGGAATCGCTGTGTGCTGCCACTGCAAGCACAGAAAGCGGGTCCAGCTGCCGCTACCGGCACCTGCATGGACCGAGCGCCACTCTCGGGGTGCCAGCGCCCGCTTCATCAGCCCCGGACGGGGCTGTAACCGCCTGCTGGGAGCCGTGACATCCATAATTGGCGCGCTTGGCTCCCCTTGCCCGCGGCTCGGTTGGTGATGTTTGCCCCGCAGCACCCCGCCCCTCTGGCGGTTTCAGGACCACCCGGCCCCAGGCAAGAAGCGCTCGCTGCCGGCCCCAGCCTCGCTACCGCTCCCCTCCCCGCATCGCTCCTGCCCAGCAAATGGCGGCGGCGGGGGAGGGAACCCGGGACACGGCAGAGGGAAATTTCCTCCCCGGGGTGGCCGGGCAGCGCCCGTGAGGGAGGGCGGCGGGCACCCGCCCCGCCCCGCTCCCGCCGCCCCTGGCTCCGGCTCCTGTCACGATGACTGCGGGACGAAGGCTCCCCCTTCCCCGCACTGCCTCGCCGCCTCCGGCCCCTCCTCTGCACCCCCGCTGCTGAGCGCGCCCGCCCGGCGGAGCGACCCCCGCGCCCGGCGCTCGCCCCGCGCTCCCGGGGGCGGTAGAAGCTGCACCGCCCCGGCGCTCGCAGTGGAATGGGTGGAGTTGAGGAGCGCGGTTTCCTGAGAGGAAGTGACCGCACGGGGCAGGAATGCGCCGCCGGCTCCGCGCCGCGTCCCGCCTGCCTCGCCGCGGTGCCGCGGGGAGCCCTCACCGCCCCGCCAGCCATGCCGCACTTCACTGTGGTGCCGGTGGAGGACAAGCCCCGCGCCGAGTACGACAGCGTAGAAGGGCTCAGCTGGGTGGACTACCGGGAGCCGGCCGCGGTGCCCGCCCCTGGTGACTCCTACGACACCGTCAGCTCCGACGGTGAGCGCGCACGGCTGGGGCGGGGGGCGGCGGTGCCCGCGCTCCGGGGGCTCGAGCAAGCCCGGCCCCGCGCCGCCGCCGCGGCACACAAAGGCGGGGGCGCTCGCGGGGACGGCTCGGGTCGCCGCGCCCGGATGAGGAGCCCTGCCGGGTCGGCTGGGGCGGGCGGCGGCTCCGCTGTTGCCAGGGCCGGTGGGTGAGCCCTGTGGCCACTGTCAGCCCGGCGGGCCGGGCGGGGCCGAGAGGCGGCACCGCAACCCGCCCGGCTGCGGCGGTGCCCCGGGGGTGCTGTGGGCGCGGTGTCCCCCGGTGCGCACGGGAGCCACTCGGGGGTTCCCTCCGCCCCCCAGCCGCTTGTTGACAGCCCGGGGTGCAGCGGGCTGCGGGGCCGGCTCGGAGGGCCGGCTCTTATCGTTTCTACACCAGCTGCCGTCTCCAGAGTGATAAGAGTACGGTGAGATACGCTCAAGTGTTTTCAGTGCTCCGCTGCCAAAATAAACGGGTGATAGCGAAGTCAGTTAAATTAGCAACGTCTTAGGTGGCTGCTTTTCCTGTTTGTATCATCTTAAAAACCGCAGCTGTCTAGCAAACCGGGCCCTTGAATGCTACAGCAAGTGCTTTGTGCCTGTGTAGCTCACAACTGCTCCTGCCAGGCAAAGCTGCTTTTTGTTAGGGGTTAATTTATTCCAATTACAGAAGAAAATCACGTAAGTAGAAGGGGATTTTGGGTGGTGAGAAGTACATTCTTTAATTAGGCAGCTAATATCAGTGCTCAGCCTGTCTTGGTGTTTTGCTGTGACTTTTAGGTAATAATTTAAATACAGTGAGTCTTTCTAGTGGGAATGTGAAGGATGCTTAGATTTGGAGAGCAGAGTAATTCTGGTACAAGGTTGTTTTAGCTCTTTCTGCAATCTGTGTTTTTCTTCTGCCTTGGTTACGTTTACTTTTCTGTAATCTTTAGGAAGAGGATCTTCCCATGGGCTCAGCTGGTGAATCTGACTTACCCTCTGTGAATCATGCGTGACTCTAGGCAACAAAAGAAAAAGCAGTAAACACCTGACCTGTTCTTCCTTGCCTGTGCAGTCAAACTTTTCAGACTGCAAATGTTATTGGATGTACAGTAATCCCTGAAGGGAGTCTGCACTGCTCAGGCCTATGCTTAAGGAAGCCAACAGGGTTATTTTGCTGAGTGATACTCAACTGTCCTAAGAACAAAGTTCAGTTCCTCATTGTTACTTCATTCATTTCTCTGAGAATATGTGCTTTAATCTCCCAATCTGTACCCACTGGGGTTTTTTTCTTTCTTTCTTTGTATAGTTTTCAAAGAAATTTTAGATTTCATATACCAAGTAGGTCTGTTTATGTCCATTTTTTCCATGTCTAGTGTGGGTATTTTGGAGTGATGAAAGGTAGTTGTTTTTCCCAAGCTGTCTGTTATCACAGACAATTTTAGGTACTAGCCCTAAAGGCTGTGCAGGGCCTGGTCTTTGTTTTGTAAAAAAGGTCTGTTTTACTCTGAGGTTACTTACCATATAGTCCACGTGCATGAAAATAACAGGTGTTTTTCACCCATCTCAGCAGGTCGAGGTGGAGATCTTGTGAAGTGCTTTTTCCACTAGCTAGCTTTGGCCATGGGTTGGTAAGTGTGGCTTGTGGAAGCTGCTGCCATGATGGATAAAGGAAGGTCAACTCAAACCACCTCTCATTTGGATATGAGGCTGCCCGTAGGATATATGCAAACAAAATACTTCAAGATGCTCACTCAGCTCCCCGTCACAGTCCATCAGTCACTGGCAAGCTGTGGTCTCTTACATACTGCTGTTCAGACTGCAGTACACAACCGTGCTAATGGAAGTGAGCAGAGTCTCTTCATTTTAAGGGCTATAAATATCTAGTAACTTCTCTGTTAATGTGTGGTAGGTAGTTCTGTTTCTGTTTGAACTATAAGTGTCTTCTGTTTTTTAATTTACTTTCACAGTAATTGTTTCATATCCTCAGGGTATGTGTATAAAGATATGTCTTGCCTACTTGTACTGACAAGCATGTTCTTCCCCACTAGCCTTTTCTGTCTCTTCCTATTTTTGGGGGGTTTGTAGCTCTGTAGAAGGGAATCTGAACTTCCTTGTGTTATTCCTTTGGGTTTTGGTGCTTCTTTCTCCATCCTATGCAGAGTACTCAGGCCACTCCTATGGGAAGAGTGTTGATGATATGACATGGTGGAGATGGAAGCTGCTGTTGAAGGCAGAGTATCTCACAGCTGGTTAGCACAAGCTGGAGCCTGCAGACTGGAGGGAAGAGAGTGACCCTCCAGAGCTTTCTGTGGCAGCTGATAGCGGGCTCATGGAGGGATTTGTTGGTGTTGGTAATGGCCCTGATTCCAGATGAGGTAAACTGTTTGACTTGAGCGCACAGTTCAGGTTGTAGGTTGTGGCCCTATGGAAGTGCACACAGTTGGTATTGGCACTGCGGTGTGTGCAGACAGAGCTGCCTAAGCAGTGTTGATGGTCCCAGCTTTCCATGCGGTCCAGGAGCTCCACCATAGTCAGTGCGAGAAACTGGTTGCAGTTGTTCTGTGAACCTTCTCCTGGGAAGATTTTGTTTTGTCAGCTTGTTATTCAGAACCTGGTTTAAAAACTTGTTTGGATTGCTCAGTTTGATTGAAGATGGGTTAAGGTGACTCATGGCCCTTCAAGAGTATGGTCTGTCATGGCACTGTAACCATGCAAAGTAGTGGCTGTGTTGTCCAATACTCCTTGCACAATCTCTTGGGCTGCTCCTTATGATTCTGACAGATTCTTATTTCAGTTTGACCTTTTCACTCCAACCTTTATTTGTCATAGCTCTGTTTTATATTTTTTTTTTCTGAATTTTGCGTTCTTTAGGACATCAAGTGATCATCATGGTCAGGCTTCGCGAACAGAGATTTGGGAAGGGCTCTACCCACGTTTGTTGCAAGCGCGTTGGTGGCTAAAAAGGCCAATACGAGATAGGCATGTCCGGTTGCAAAAAAAAATAAATAAAATGATCAAGTGATAGGGTGTCATCTAAACACCACAGACGTAATAGAATTTCTCGTCAACCATTTCCATAAGAAGACATTAGTTAGTGTGCAGTAATTTAGCCTTCCCAGATAGCTCCAGTGCTTGCTTGTGAATAAAATCAGCCTTTTATTTCTAAGCAGGTTCCACTGACTGCCACTGCTTCTAACAGGCTTTGACATCTTTCATTTAGAAAAAGAAGTACAAAGAATTATCTTGTGATCCGATGATAAACACGTGAGCCCTTCTTTATGGATCATCAGGGATGAGAAATGTGAATTTGGCATCCCCTCAGTCTTTGAAATAAGGCCAGCATGTTAGGTTGGGTATACAAGGCAAGAAGAGGGACAGTGGGGTCTGAACAGTGTTTACAAAAACCAAATACACTTTGTTTTAATAGGAATCTCAACTCCACAGTGATTGTGCACCCTGTTAACCGAAGTGCGGCAATGTCATGTGTCCTGTGGGAAGTTATTTATCTTCCCTTGACTTTTGTATGTAGAAATGAGACACTAATCAGCTTGGTGTCACTAACCAGCTTTGGTCGGCTGCCACCCTTGGTTTTTGCCAAGGAATTGCTCTGCTTATGTTCCAGTTATCACATGGCTTCCTCTCAGCCCAGAGTTCTCTAACTGGACTTGAGACCTTTTCCTCACGCTTACATTCTGCACTGTGTTCAGTGCTTTTGTGCAGCAACAGATTCTGCTGCTCATTAGCAATAAGCTGTTTTTGAGAATGTGGATAAAGTTCTGATTTACTATAAGCTTCTTCCTGGTTAACTGCTTTTAGTGTATAGTAACTTACTGGTAAAGATTTTCAGTCTTCTACAAGACTTGAAATAAAGCTCACATAAAATATGTCTGAACATACTTTTAATGGGGACATAATTCAAAAATTCTTCTTCAGAGTGCTTACTTCTTACATGTACGTGTTTTGGCGAAGTCCAGAGATAATATAACATCAATCATGTAACAAATTAGACACTACAGCTAAATAGGACTGACAGAAACACGTGTCCAAATACCATCTAAGTTATCTTAATTCAAGAACTTCTGGCAGCAGTGTGGGTAAATGGCACAGTTACAGTGGTCGGAGTGGAATATTTTTGCATAACCTCTGTAGCACATGTGTCTTCAGCGTTTTTCATGTTGCCTCACCACTATAGAAAGAAGTGATGGAGGAGGCAGACTGGGGTGGAGTTGAGGCAGAACCTCTGAATTGTTTGGGAGGAAAGAAAGTAACCTGAGAATAGCAATACTAATGTCAGGGAACTATCTCTTCTGGTGATTTGTTTTCTTGCTGAAAGTGATATAGAGACTTCATCTTCTTCAGTATAGCTGCATTTTGATGAGGAAGGGTCTTTTTTCTATTCTGTTAAGCTTGGCATTTGTTTTCCCTCTCTGAAAAGTATGATGTGTAAATTTGGAGATATTAAAGATGCCCTGTCAGTGCTAAATACGTCAATATATGTTTCTGCTCCATGAAGGGTACTTCTGGGATACGCAACAATGGTTATGGTTTGAAATGCAGAAACTGAAAGGGGTCTTAGCAGCAGGGTCATACTTTTGAAATCCTAGGAGGTTTTTTGGCTTCTTTTTTTTTTTTTTTTTTTTTTTTTTTTTTTTCTTTTTTTAAATTTTTTTTTGTTGCTTGCTGTTTGAGCAATCAGCAATTATCATAGCACTGATAGGAGTGCTAGATTCCAGAATACTTTTCTCAACAATCTAGTGCACGGAGAAGTTGACTCTTGCTTCAGATAAGGAAAGCTAAGAATTCAGTTTGTGAAAAATCAGAGTGGAAAAGTGTTTTGTGACATAGTTAACTGTTTAAAACAGTTGGGTGGGTGAAGGGGATGGTATATACTTCATTTATCACCTGTAAGCAAAGGAATTTCTGAGAAGCTCATTTTAGTGGAGCCCATGGTGGATACCTCCAGTTTCTTTTAGCAGCATGCGGTGTTGTGATATTTAATTTATCTGTTAAAATGCTTGTCTAGGAAAAGAAAAAAGTTCATGTTACTGCGTAAACTGTTACTTTTGCTAAGTATGTCTCATACCTTTTTTG